TTGCCCTCCGCATTAGGAGGAAACTGCTGACCCAGATGCATTTTGGAGTCCTTTTCTGCAAGGACATTTCTGCAACAGCCATTTCCCCAACAACTGCCAATACGCAAAGGCTTCTTGCTCCAAATTGGCTGTTCTTGAAGTCATCTCTCCAAAAATAAAAGTCAAGTCCCTTCTCAGCTTTAAGCAGGAGGGCTCCTGCGAGCTCTGTCTCACCTGCCTATTGAGAGTGATGGCACTTGGCTGACACTTTGTGCAAATGCCTTCTGGCCAAGGAGGGTGCCCTTCGCAGCCCGATTTGATCTTACAGCTGATGTTTTCCAGGGCAACAAATTTCCCCCTGCAAGAAGGAAGAGAGACAGCTGCTGTTACCACAGTAAATGCTTTTGGGTATCAAAAAAAGCAAGTGGCTAGAAATATCACAGAGGAAGCAGGGCAGAGGAGACACGGGGGCACAAATGCTTTGCATCTTCAGAGGATCTCAAAGTGCCCTGCAAACTCCCACTGGGGAATGCTCCTCTCCTGCGGTCCCCAAGTAACCTCTGCTGCCCACTTAGCGAGGGAGGTCAAGAGGCCGACATGTGGTCACTGACTCAGCTCCTAAGCAGATATTCGAGCAAGAGGTGGAGAGAGAAAACTCACGGGACCCTGCTTAAATAATTTATGCAGCACGTGGGAAGGAATAGATTATACCACTAGGGCAAATTAGAGCTCCTTTCATGTGCACAAGGCTTCCTGCAAAGGGAAGTTCCCTTCAAATGAAAGTATTATGGACTTGAGCTGCATCTCACAAAGACATTAAAAAAATCCCAACGGCACTCAGGAATAGGAGGGAGAAGGTTACACCGCTGCAAAACTTATTTGAAGGAGCTGCATTTCAGAACACAGTGGGTTCCCCGACATCACTGAAGGGGACTTCAGATCCTTCACTGAACACATGTGCCACAGCAAGATATAAAGAAATAAATACTTCTTTCAGCGCTTCCTCTCGGCTCAGCAGTTATCTGGCCTGTGTCACCACGGCATCCTCCACCCCATCAAGGGGCAGGACGCCTTATTTTCCAGTTACCGGGCAGTGAACCACGGCACTGTGACAAGAAAAGGTTTCACTAAGAACACATGGAGCATGGGACAGAGCAGAATCAGGCCCCGAGGAACATTAGGCTCATCTTTCTGTCCTATTCACATTTTTAGGTAAGAAAAGCCGTTGGTGAATAAAAGCTCCCCAGGTCCACCGCAGTTTCAGGGCCTCTCCACAAGGTTTGAGACCCAGGCTCGGAGCTTGGTATAATTAGGGAACCTCTTTCCTTCCATCTGGCCTTCTCCCCCCATCGGTAGTGTTTCCTGGAAGCAATTACATTGCCGCAGAAAAAGAAAAAAAAAAGAAAAGAAAAAGACTTAATTTTTCTTTCCCTGTCTTTTTTTTTTTTGCTTTCCTCTCTTCTTTTTTTTTTTTTAACGTGTCGTTTTCTCCTCAGTTTGCCATTCGATAGTTGTATCCAACACTACTCTGGTGAGATCTGTCTGTACTTTCATTTGTATTTTAAAAAAGAAGCTACAACTAGATTCCCTTAAACACAGAGATTTTCTTACTTGTCTGCCCCTCCGGTCAGCTTCCTGATGTATGCGTGGAAGGACATATGCTTCACAGGAGGTTCCAGATGGTTTAAATAATCCTCATCAAAAGGCTGCCAAAAACACCACACAAAGAAAAGCCAGGTCAGACACCTGTCTGATAATACATTGATCACTAAACAAATGGATGTTCTAGAGTCAACTCCACTCACTCTCAATGTGGAAACAATCAAGAAAATTTAGGCTCATTTTCAAGGCAGCTACTACTGCGATAGAAACAGTGGGGCTTTACAACAGCCAGTTTTATTATCGCCTCCTACTTTTATAACAGATTGGCTCCACAAATCAGAACGAGCCTCAAAGGCAAAATGCTTTTTTCCTTTCAATATCTAACGACAAACAAAAAGCCCAGCTGCTCAAACAAGGCCAAAGAACTTCCAGAGCACATGGCAGGGAAGCGGGGGAACAGCCATCCTGGCTCGCAGCGACTTTTGAGGGATCACTGCTTCATGCCATAAATTATACAGTTTAGCACATTTGTAGGCGTTACTAAAGCTGCCTTCAACCTGAATAATACGTGGTTAAACTGGAAAGTGCTGGGATCCATGAGAGAGGGGATGAAACAAGAAGATCCAGGCAAGAGTGAAGAGGGAGGAAAACTGGAGCTTTTCTAAAGCATTTTCTGTTAAACCCATTACTGCAGAAAAACAGAGCATTAACCAGAATAAACCCAGGGTCACGAAGGCCTAGAGCTTTAGTGATCCTGGATGTGAGCCGGCACCTTTGACAGTGCACAGCAGGATTCTGACCCAGAGCTGCCATCTCTACGTGGGCAGCGCTCCGAGAAAAAGCGTTCGTACTGGAAGAAACTGAATCCAAGAGGACATGCTTTCCTGTGACCTTCTAGAGCACTTTCTTGGGGCTCTTACCTCCAGTGGTACACAATGCACACATTTACCCAAGGGGCCGTGGCGACACCTATGCAAAAAGAAAGAGAAGTAGCGTTAAATCTTATTTAATAATGGAAAAGTCAGACTGTAAAAGTTGCTCGAGACTAACAGTTTTGGTGTGGAAGATCTGTGCAATCACATGGCTCTGAGCAACCCTCCAGCCGCTCGGGAATATTACAGAGGGGTCACCACAAGATAATTTCACATAAAGAGACAGCAACAGCTTCGGGTTAAATCTGAGACTCCCAGGTCAAGACCAAACCCTCCTCATGTCTGTGTCGCTGCCAAGCAGCTCTGCTCTCTAAACAGGCACATGAACCAATGTCAGATCACAGCTTCTCAAGTTTTACAACCCCGCGTTGAGTTTGCATTTCAATTCAAAGAATTTTAAATCTACGTCACAGGGCTGGTCTGTGGGGTTTTAACAAAAAGACAACCAAAACATTCATCCTTTATCAGTCACTAGAGGATGGTCTGGAACAAACAGGGAAGCATGTGTTTATCGGACAGATAAAGACCTGCTGGGTAAAGTTACAAAACAGAGGGGAAAACATCTCCTTTTGAGGCAATCGCTTTAAAAAAACCCCAAACAACAAAAAATTCCCCCCACACCTCTGCCCCAGCACTAGGTCAGTGCTAGTTTTCAAAGGAAAGCCTCTAGAGGGGGGCATGGATGTCGGCTCTTGTAAAGGTGAAATGGATGGGATCCAGTTGCAGCGTCGCTTTTAACAAAGTCTCGTGGCAGATAATGTACATAAAGGACCACTAAAGGCTGCTAATGCACTCAGCCGAATGCCAGCATCCCTTCATGTTTAGATTGATATGCACTCACAAATACAGGAACAAGCCCAGACACACTCTTTTTGTCATAAATATCCACCGCTGTGCTTTGGCTCCCTGCTAAGAACAATACCTTCATTTATTCTTTTGAAAAATGTGGTCAAGTTAAAGACAACGTTTTTGCCACGGAGTGGTGGGTTTTGCCTTCATTGTTTCAATAATGTGGCATTTCTCTCATTTATCATCAGCCTGAAAAGGTTAGATAGGATTTTCCACATAAAGGCTACATCTCTCCAAACTTCCTTGCTGCTGCACTGCTAAAGATAAACCACGTGGAAGACAAGACAAGGGGGAAGGGCGAGCTGTTCTGTTTTAGAAAGAATTCCTGGTTGCCTTTAAAATTTTCACTCAAGCCCTTTCAGAAGTTACTTAGCAGAGGGGCCCAGCCCCAAGCTCACAACCAGTACAGACATCAGGCCAGGACCCAACTGGGACGTTGTTAATGATGAGCAATAAAACCCAGCCATCCAGACAGAGGACATTTTAGCAGCATTGGTGTAGATTTATGGTGGTAGTAAGTCACCATTGTATTACTACCTTCACAAAAAATACAAGCTGCTTTGTTTACCTAAGCCTCTTGCAGCTAAGAGTTTTGGCAAAACTAGACTTTGCTGCGTTTCTGTGAGCAAAATGGACTCCCTGGTTTCACAGAAAGGTTAGAAGGCACCCGATGGAAAGGATGCCAAAAACCAAGCAGGCAGAGATCCGAGTGCCACTTCCACGTCTCTGCCATTGGATACTTCTGCTCACTTCTTTGGTTTTCCTTTATAAGGAGTGGCTGGATCTGAAGACACAGAAGTGCTCCTGCTTGGGACATCCTAGCTGAGGTGCCACATGCACCCATGGCAGTGCTGAACACAGCAATGCAGGGTTGTGTCGGCTCTGCCCAAGCAGGGAGAGACTGTACTGAAGCCAGAAAAGGCGACAGAGCTCAGGTCTCCACTCTGACAGAGGAGCCGCCCATGATTTAGAAAACAAATCCGACCTCGATGGTCTCCCACTGCTGGCTGGGTGATGATGAGGCAGCAGCTCCGGCTGAAAGCGCGTTTCCCCGTCTGCGCCTCTCCTGCGAGATGGAGACCTGGCCCTGCCACCCCGCACGGCTGTCACCTCAGGACACAACCAACCAGGAGCTACATATTGAGACCATCTGGAACAGAAGCTACTGCAGACAGCAGGCCCCTGCTTATTAAGCAATATGCCACACACAGAGCATAACCTAGTATTTCTACACAGCACCAGCTGCCAGGACATCCCGGGGAAGAATTCAAAGTATTCATTTTAATCTAGAGAGCTCCAAATGTTTTAGGAGCACAAACTATATGATCACAAGTCCTGTAGCAGGGGCCACCTTGACCAGAACAATAGATGCTCTGAATGAGTCCTTCCTGGCAAAGACCCTGGGATTTTGGTATCTGCTTCCTTCCTCGGCTCACCAGAGCTCGATTTAACCTTGCAGGACAATGGCAAAAGCTGTTTTCCCTTGTGAATGTTTCAAAGGCAGCGAGGGACAGAGCAGTGGCTCAGAGGGCAGTTCCCACAGCACGCTTCCTGGCTGCTGGTTTCAGACAAGACGTTACGAGCTCTGGTGAGGCACAGATGCATCGGCAGAAACAAAGTCCACCCATACTTACAGCTGCTGGTCTCGATTTCGGTAAATCTTCCCATCCTGTTTGATCAGATACTGGTCGATCTCATCTTCCACCACCTGGGGGGCCCCCACAGGCCGCAAGCCTTGGGAGACAGAGGTGTCCATGGTCTCTGAGGAGGAGCCAGCCGGGCTCGAGGGGTAGAGAAACAGCATATCGCCATGCCTATAGGTGTGGAAAAACAACACGGGGGTATCAGCTGAGCAGGAGCTTTGCTTCCAGCTACATTGGGGTGGCAACCCAGGCAATAAGACACACGCTGCTCTCGTACAGCTGGAAAGGCTCAAGGTCTGCCCTCTCCGCCATCCACTTTCACCAGCAACTGAACTACACCGTACCGTCACCCCGACTGCCTGGAGGAACCGGCTCCTTTGCACGCACACAGCGTAGGAAATGCCTGTGCTTGGTTCGTGGCACGTTACAAACCACGTTAATGTTTGTACACTTTTAGTGCACACTTCTGGATAGCAAACCTCCCGGAGCACAGAGGAGCGTGGAATTTATAACAAACTAAACACACTAGCAAACGTGGCAGTCCACAGCCATTCCATTAGCCACCTCTTTCTGCTGCTTTGGTCATTTGCACAATAAATGCAAATCTTTTCATCAGGAGACAAGACCGAGGGAAAAAGATGAAGAAAAAGGCAAAAGGAGCCTATGAAGAGAAGCAACAGCTCCAGCAGGGAAAAGGACTAGTGTGGATCCCGTGCACACCAAGTCACAGCCTTCCCAAGGCAGCTGCCAGCGTTGACACATTCAAGTGACAAGTTGCACGCGGCAGTAACAGCTCTTGTATTTTTAACCAGTTTAACATTATTCTTGACATGAACAGAATGAAGACATTCCCAACCAAACATGAAGCGATTGCCCCATTTGGCACCTCTGATCTCCCCAGGCGCCTAGCTACAGAAGGCAGGAACCCTGGCTCCTGTGCAGGGGACGATCAGACTCTGGCATTGATGCAGAAAAAAAGGATAGCGTGAGTGAGAGCAGGGATGAGGAAGCTTGCTGCAGGCTGTGAAAGAGCAAACAGGAGGCCTGCTGCTGCCTCACTACAACAAGCGAACACAATGCAAGAAGTGACCTGAGAACTAGCTGCCACAGCCTCGCTCATAGTCAATTTGATCACCCCCATTTCGGCATGTCAGTCAAGCTTGCCCCTTCAAGTAGTTGGTGAGTGACAGTGGAAAGCTTAGGACTGCTGTAACGTGATGCCGCCTGCTACTGCCCGGTTCGGAGGGAAGAGTTCAGGCAAGCTCAGAGAAGAGGCACCCCGTCGTACAAAGCACCCCCTCCACCCACAGCGCTCTCTGTCAGGACTCACTTGATTTTCAGTAAGTTGAGGGATTTGTTTTGTGACGCTGTGATCTCTCCTGTTCTGTTTCTATTGGTGTAGACAGAAAACCCATTATTCCTGAAACCAAATTCTTTTGCAACCTGAAAGAGAGAGAAGAATGACAAGGTTAAGATACCTCAGACCTCTGGTCAGATGCTGAAAGCTGCTCGGAGCAAGTGCTAAGTCCAGGGAACGTCTATTGCAAAACTTTAGCTGAACTCATCCCCATTTCTGAAGAGCGCAGGATAACTGAGAAAAATAGAAACGTGTAGTAACACAAGCCATCTATTAAAAAAAGCAACTTAAACAGAACATGTCTCTCGCTCACGCAACACCAATGCAGTATTTTATCTAAATCCAGGCAAGCACTGTCATGACCAGAGGGGGGAAACTATCTTCTCCATTATCCCAGTTCTCTCGCTCCAGCCCGGCCAGCACACACCAGCCAAGTCACGCTCACCTTCCTATGACCAGAATTCCTCAGTCCAGATCTTTCCCTCTGAGGATCTTTTGCCCCCAGCTCCACTCTCGCCTACCAGTTGCTACATGAGTTTCACTCAC